AACCTTGCCACGCAAAACCAACACACCTGGACATCTGTAGTTTGGCTTCCAACAGCTCCTGGATTTCCTGGCACATGATAAAGGCCCTACCAGTAAAGCCCCTAACCAACTGGTTCTCTGAGCAGCTGTCTGCAGACCTTATGGGAGGTCGAGCTGGCAGGTCCTGCTTCCTTTTAGCAAGACCAAGAGAACTGCTACGCACAAAGGCCACTTCAGCCCCAGGTTCCCAAACCCTCCACCATGGCCTAGGGCTTGCCCAAAGCATGTAGTGATTAAGACACTCTTTTTTTCCAGTTCCAGTATCTGGCAAACTCCAGCACCAAGAATAGCTGCTGCTTTATCATGCTTTGACTTCGTAGATGTTTGAACCCAAGTCTTCCCGGCATTCATCTGCCAAGATACATATCTGCACCAGACAGTCCAACTAATCCAATTCAAGCTGATTATCAACTAAACACCTTTCTCTATACTGGCACATTCACTGAATTCTCTTAGACTCTCCTCCTTTTGCTGTTCAGTCTTTGTAAATCTTCCATTTCGGCACTGTGGTCCTCTCAGCAATGGAATTTCAACCTAATGGAAATGTCCATGATGGGAATACAATATTTTTTTAACACTGAAGAGTGCAATTCTAAACAACAGTCATATTACTGCCTCATTAGGATAGTTGAAAAGATTTAATGGATGTTTAATACGCTACAGTCAAAATATCTGTTCTTCAAAGAATCTTTACAAATACTATGCATTTTAAATTGGATACGGTTTGGTCTGTCATAATTTCATATGGGTAGAAAAATAACAGCTGTACCTTTCATGTTTTTTCCTCCTCCACTTTCAATATCATGTTAAAATATTTACAGCATTTCCAAACATGTTTCATTTAAAGACTTTCAGAAAATCCCTTATGATTTCACTATCCTTGTTCTGAACTTAATACAGTACCTTGCATTCAGTTCCTTGCAGTAAGTACCTTGCATGCAAAGCAACCGAGTTCTGCTGCAAGAGCAGCTGTTCCTCCCTCCTCCCATTTGAATAGCTTCTATATTTAAGACAGGATTTCATAGAATCAGAAAATCATAGAATGGTTTGGGTTGGAAGGGACCTTAAAGATCATCTAGTTCCAACCCCCCTGCCA